CCACATCCACATCATTTTTATGACCCCTCAGCTGGGAGGGGGACGGCACTCGACTATAACACAATTTCTCATTTGTTGCGTGGGTATAGAGACTCTTACTCCCAACTGCTGTGGCGGTGAGCGCCTGTGGTACGGACGATAGGCAATCCGCCGAGCTCACTTGTCGCCCACCTGCCTACCCGCCGGGGGCTCGGCTCCAGCAGCGAGCCCACTCCAGACCATGAGGTGTTCGACGGGGCGTCTTATGGAAAAGGGGATCGACTCAAATTATATTTATTATGCAAAATTGTGCCACACACTAAACGTGTGAATTTTGCCACAACGACGCAACAATGGAGTTGTTTTATCGAACACGGCATGTCTGTCTGTCTCTCTCTGTCTGTTCGTCTGTCTGTCTGTTCGTCTGTCTGTCTGTTCGTCTGTCTGTCTGTTCGTCTGTCTGTCTGTTTCGTCTGTCTGTCTCTTTCGTCTGTCTGTCTGTTTCGTCTGTCTGTCTGTTCGTCTGTCTGTCTGTTCGTCTGACTGTCTGTTCGTCTGTCTGTCTGTTCGTCTGTCTGTCTGTTGGTCTGTCTTCGTCTGTCTGTCTGTTCGTCTGTCTGTCTGTTCGTCTGACTGTCTGTTCGTCTGTCTGTCTGTTCGTCTGTCTGTCTGTTGGTCTGTCTGTCTGTTCGTCTGTCTGTTGGTCTGTCTGTCTGTTCGTCTGTCTGTTCGTCTGTCTGTCTGTTCGTCTGTCTGTTCGTCTGTCTGTTCGTCTGTCTGAACAGCACTACTTCCGCCGCCGCACTGCTGTGTGATATGTCACTCGGCGAGCAGCCTAATTGGCACCTTGATGGCGACGAATTAAACAGGCGGCGCGTGGAAGTGGAGGTGATATTCCCGCGCCCGGCCCACCCTCGGGCCCGCCAAGTTCCATCGCAGCGACAATGGCCACTTAATTAATTCCATCGGCACGGCACACATCGCTCTCTCTCGCTCTCTCTCGCTCTCTCTCGCTCTCTCTCGCTCTCTCTCGCTCTCTCTCGCTCTCTCTCGCTCTCTTTCGCTCTCTCGCTCGCTCACTTGCTCTTCTCTTCGCTATTTCACCAATCGCATCACCGGTGGAACGGAGCCCCCAGAGCAAAGCTAGCGCGAGTCATCGCACTCCCGTCTTCTTCTTCTTCTTCTTCTTCTTCTTCTTCTTCTTCTTCTTCTTCTTCTTCTTCTTCTGCTTTCCTCCTTTATTCTCGCGGAGGATTGAGTTTGAAATGCGCACCAGTAAATCCAAATGGCGGTCGCTAGGCTGCTGCTGACTGGAGTGCTCATCCGCCGCTGTCATAGCCTTAAAGCGCCACGCTCATTACAGTGACGCTCCCCCTCCCGCTCCCCCGGTCAACGGACGAGTAACCTGCTGTCGGGGAAAGAGACGAAAGACAAAAGCCGACAAAAGCATTTCGGAATGCAGCTCAGTATTCGGAAGTGGACATTATCTAATTCCCGAGTGAATGTGAATAGGCGGAACGAACGCTCTCACCGACCTTTCCACCTTTTGCTTTGGAGCAGTGCACACTTTATTGCCGTTATGCGGAATGTTTCACTGATACGCAATATGGATATGGTGCGGGCCGGCAGCGTGCGCGTTAGTTGATTGAGGCGTAGGGGTCGGCGGGTCGGCCGAAGCGTGGCCTGAATCCGGCCGCGATCAGCCGTATGGGGATGTGGGGTGGTGTGCAGGGTGTGCTCCGCGAGCGCGCAGAGCCGGGGCGAAGGGACGTGTATGAAAACCATAAAATGAAAGTCATGGGCTTAAAATATATATATCTTGGCCGCTTTGCGCCCGCACCGCTCCACCCACACATATTGAAACTTTGACCTCGGCTCTCTCATTTAAAGGAGAAGTAAACTTATCGCTTGACTTCGAATTGAAAATTTTGTTCTCTATTTTCTTTTCAGCTCGCGTGCGTTAGCCAGCACGCGGCTGGCCAGGCCAGAGGCCGGGCCCCGGCGGACAGCAGCTCGCGGGATGACGGTCCTCGCTTTTACTGCGTCTGCCAAAGCGGTCGGCCTCCAGCCGGCGCCGCCCTCTGCGTGACCTCCACGACGGTATGTGAAATCAGGACTCATCCAGAGGATGATTTCTTTTTATTTTGTTGGCAATTTTCCTCTGTCTCCGGCCGTTTTGTGTGCCCGGCTCGGCGGGCGCTGCGTGCTGGCTGCGCGCCGATGTTAACACGAATCATTTCTGATCGGCCGGAGGTGCTGGGGAAGGGGAAGAAGGGGGGGGGGAGCTTCGCATCCTTCGGCTCGCCCGCCCGGCCCCACGCGTCTCTTTTTGCCGGGCCGAGTCGACCCATCGTTTATCATCGTGTTGGGCCGTCCTGGTCCTCCTGCGGCCTGCGAGGCCTCTTGCCCTGCGAGATCGCTCGCCCGCCGCACTGCAGCTGCCCCCGCCGCCCCGGAGCAGGGCCCGCAGGACAGGCGGCGGTCCCACCCGTCTCTCTCTTTCCCAGCCCCAAGCACGGCACGGTGGTGGTGCGTCTGCTCGTTGGCGCTCGCTACCTCCGGTGCCTCCCCCGAGCTCAGACGAGGGCGGCCAGAAGCAGGCGCTGTACTAAAAAGAGCGCCGCGACGCTCTCCCGTCGCATTTTGAAAGGGAGAGTCGTTAACGCGGGGCGCCGCGGCATGTTGTGTCTCGTTTAGAAAACAAGCAACAGCGACGACGCAAAACTTTCCCAAGTTAAGAGGAGTTGCAACAAGGTGAGCCTGGATAAGTCGTAACACTCTCTATTCGTCCTCTTTGTCAGCCACTCGCATCTCCCACATACTCCCTCTCTCTCCCGCCCCCCATACACCCACCTAGCCCCCCTCCTTCTCTCCCTCCCTCCTCCCTCGCCCGTCTACAACAGATGTTGTGCCACGTACTACTAGTCCGGTTCGCGCAGCGTGCGCACTTCCCTTCCGGTTGCGGAGCGCCAGCGCTAAAGCTTTTCCAGCCCAACTGATCTTGGAGTGACAGTGGGCAGGGCAGGGGCGGGCGCGAGGGAGCTGCTGCGGTCGACAAAGGCAAACCGGCAGGACCCCAGCAACACATCCAAACGGCTACTGGGCCAGCGCAACGAGAAGATCCCCCCCTAAACCCTTGGCCTCTTGGCGTCGTGTGTGCGTGTTGGGGAGGAGTCGCAATAGTGTCTGTGACAGGGCCACACTTGAGCTAAAAAGATTGTGAAGGGAAGAGGTACCGTGAGAGTACCGTGGTCCTTTTTTTTGTTTTTTTGCCGTCTCTGCTTAACCTGGTTTTCCGCAACCAGGCATCAGGAGCAGCAGAGCAGCACTCCTGCTGAGACTCCACTCCAGTCCGGCTGCGGCTGGTCGAGGCGTGGCCTCCCTCGGCCGTGGCTATGAAGCGCTGGGGCGAGCAGTTTACATGGGATTACGAGTTTCCGCTCACCTCGGAGGACGCTTTTCATATATTCTCCCCTATTTTCTCCCCACCTACCAATTTCATCACATCTCTCTCCCCCCCCCCTCCTTTTCTCTCTCTCTCTCTCTTTCTCTTTTTCGCGCGCGCGCTTCCTCCCTCTCTCCTCCTCTTTTCCTCTCTGACCGGGAGTGGTCGCTCGCGGCACGTCCTCCAACTCTGTGGGCGGAAGGGCGGCCCGGCGCGCAGTTGGGCCCTCCAGCCCGGGGCCTCCCGCCTCGCGCTGGGCCACAGGAAGAGGGCTACTCCTGCGTCAAGTTCCCCTCCCGATCTCAAAAAAGATGGTTGGAATGAATCATTTCCTTCCGGAAGGCATAATTTTTAATACCTACACACTAAATGATACGACAATTTTGTGTCCGACCGAGATTCGCGTTCATAAGCACATCCCAATTTGAACCCATGATAGATACCAAAACAGTTATTGTACTTAAGTAAGTTGCATTTTGTAACTTTTTAAAGACAAATCTGCATACGATTGAGACGGATTGAGACGTGCTTAAACTATCCACGCTGGAAACAAAACGATTCTTTTCCATTTAGAGTGTGGGCTATACTTAAAAGGTCGTTTTCTAAAAACAGGGTCATTGACTCCGATGGCCCTATCCATGACATTCGAGGCCTCTGGCGTCATTCCCTACGGGATGGCCATGGCCCTACTACGACACCCTAAATGTCACCGTGGTATGTTTCATAAACTAGCCGATCATGAGGGACGTAAAGAATCACGACCACATCACACCAATGGCCCCAAAATCTTGCGAGTTTAGAACCAAAAGGAGATGAGTGAGCTCGCCTCGGAGCTTCACTCAGTCTGTGCCGTCAGCGTCGTACCCAGCAGTGTGATTATATGACGGGCATGCCGCCCCCCCCCCTCTCCTCTGCGCGTCGTCTGCCTGCTGCCTGCTCCACTTCTACGTGCTGCTTGGGGGTGAAATTGTTTGTGATGCACAGTAAACAATATCATCTAGAATTAACAGCAAATTTTCTGTGAAGTTTTTAAATGACTTTTGTTGTTGGAGAACAACATCGACATGTAAAATAACAATGTTCTTTGTAAACAAACCGCCCGATTGTTCAGTAACAACGAAAGTTGTTTCGCAAGAGTTGTTTCTAAACAAGGTTTTTTTCCGTGTGTCGAAGTCGGGTGGGTGCGCGAGAGATAAGGTGTGTGAGAGAGAGAGAGAGAGAGAGAGAGAGAGAGGGAGAGAGGGAATGGGTCACGCTGCACAATGTTTGGAAAAGTGCGATGGACCTGGACAGGCCTGAGGGAGCAGTAGTGGCGGTGGGCCTGCCGCGGTCAGGCTGTGATGGTATGGAGCTGGCGCGCGCCTTTATATAAAGGCCCTGTTGGGGTTGGGGCGTGCCAAATTGTGTTATTCACACGCTCGCGTGTTTCTCTTCGTGGCGTTGGTAGTGTGCGCCGCACTACTAGGAGTTTGTGGGGCCGAAAGCGGCCGAAAGTCCCGGAGGCGCAATCATCATCACATCCGGGCCAAGCCGAGCCCTGCCCCTGCCCTCTCCCGCAGCAGCCCGGCAGACTCACCACGGTGCGCGTGTTGGTTCCGTCGGCCGTTCTCATCTGCGACGCCGCGCGAGCTATCTGCGGAAAAGAAAAGAGAGAGGGAGAGCATTAGACAGAGTTGCGGCGGAGGACGCTGCGCATGACGTCGAGCTTGCGTTTGAGCGCCGCGTCCAATTATGATGTTGTGTAATGAGATTATTGAGACTCGGTCCGTTCGTACGCCGGCCTCAGGCTGGCGGCTTGCGCGGACCGCCGCCATCCGGGGCCCGGGCGGGAGTAGGGGACGGGACGGGAGGGGGCATTTGAGGGGGTAGGGTAAGTCGAGGGATCGAGAAGGGGACGGGGCAGGAAAGGACCCCGACATGGTCCGCATCATTAGGACAGGACAGACCAGGGGACAGACTCGGAACAGACGGAATGGCATTTCCAGCACTGTGAAGACATCTTGTGAGGGAGAGGGAAAAGGGGATGGGAAAGGGGGGAGTGGTAGGAATGCAGTGAACCGCGTGACCGGTCCGATCTGGCGCAGGGCGCAGAGGGGAACGCAGGACGGCCTCGTCCAGTGAACCGCCTCGCCCCGCCCCGCCCCGCCCAGCCTGTCCGCACCCCGCGGGCGGAGAGGTCTTCTGCCCCGCTCAACTCCATGCAAATCCAAAGGCAGCAGGCAGTTGTAAAGCGTCGGCTGGCGGCCCGAGGAGGGGCGGGGGAGGAGAGGGTGCAGCAACGAGGGGAGGGTAGAAGCAGCCTCAGTCTGGGTCTCCCCCCAGGGGTTGCCCCGCGTTGTCCCCGCCCAGCCCTATTGCTTGGCGGTGTGGTCTACCAGGTCGCCAGCGCGACGCGGAGCCGGAGCGGAGGACCTCCGAAGGACGACGGGAGACGGGTGGAGGAACGAGGAGCTGTATTGACAGGTGTGGCGTCCCATTCATGCAATTCAAAACACTTCTATCGAAACCGCATCCAGCCATCTCCCCCCCCCCC